CACCGGGATCGAGCCCGAAACCTGGGCATGTGCCCTTGACCAGGAATCGAACCGTGGCCTCCTGGTTTGTAGGTTGATGCTCAACCACTGAGCCATGCCAACCGGGCAAGTCCCCCATTTTAAGGCACTTGAAAGCATGATAGACTCAGTTGAATGAATTTTAAGGAGAGGTTAGTAATTAAGACGATTTACATCCCCTTCCTGTATGTTCCACTTGGGTTAATTCAGTCACAGACCAGGAACTGAGCACGGACTTCCATCTCCAGGCCTGCTACCAGCACCGGCTGCAGCCACCTCCACCTGCTCCAGTGAAGCCACGTGGTCTAATCCGTCCTCCCGAGAGCGCCTCTCAGATGGCACCTGGGAGTGTGGACGGGCCAGTTCTCAGGAGGATGCGGGGGGAGGGGCGTTCGCTCGCCTTTACTTCTCAGTGGTTGGATTTATATCAAATCTGGTTACAAACAAGGGTTCTCAAGACAGTCTGCTCACTGATCTCTCAGACTGAATGGCTGAGCTGGGGCTTGGTCTCTCACAGATTTTCTCTGCTTTTTAAGTTTGAAATGGAAAACTAAGCTGCCCCCAATGTGTCTACTCCCCATCCTCACCCACATACTGTCTTTGAATTATAATTTTGTCTCTTAGTTCAGCTTTTCCTTGTGCCAGTCACTGCCACCATCTCTCCGGGTCCTCCTTTTCGGACATTTCCCCTGTCCTGGGGGCCAAGGAGGGGCAGGCTAACCCTCTTGCAATGGGTGCTGGGAAGCAGACGGCGGGGACTGGGATGGGGTCCCAGGCCGAGGTGAGAATTCTGCGCTGTGGGCCTTGGGCCCAGCTCTCCACGCTACATACCGAGGAGGCAACTGGAGTCCGGAAAAAACTTCAAGGAGGGGAAGAAAGGGTGCTGGAAGGAGGGCAGAAGGACAGGAAAATGGTCTTCAGATCCTTCATGAAATCACCTCTCTAAACTGCTTCCTCATCCTGCACTATGCTTAGCCCCATGGGCCCAAGCTCTACAGAGGGAATGGCACATGGGCTTGCTAACTCATTCCTTTTCCTCCTCATAAGTGACAAAAATGAGACCCATATTGAAGATGCGAGTCCCTGGCGTTAGCCCCCTCAAGAACAATTCTTCCCATGACATCTGCTCCCTGCAGCTGGAAGCCATGGTGTGGCATACACTGTGCCTGCGCCCATCCCAGCCATCCTGGAGAGCAGCTCAGCCTCGCGTGCCGGGTGCAGGGAAGGGGCTCCTTGCAGTGGGTCTCAAGATGGAGCAGGCAGTGTCCTTAAAACTCTTTCCCCACGTGCACCCGTTCAAGACCCCGGCACCACAGCCTGATGCTGACCTGATGAACCCACGGCGGCTCTGGGGTTTATCCGGACCCTGGCTTTTTGTTGCCTATTTATTCTACTGAAGTCACAGAGGCCAATGAGTGTGACAGACACTCCTGGCATCATTACTCCAGCGCCTCACTCTGGGGCCAATTATGGATGAAATGCTATTAACATATTTCTCTCCCTCTCCCCATTGCCTCCCACACACTACATAAACCTCATTATGTGGAATATAAATGAACTGCAGGAGTATGAAACTATAACACTGTTCCTGGGTTTTCATCCAAATCTCCCTTTTCCAGAATGCAAAGGGAGTGTGTTCTCCGGGAACCAGGCTTATCACTTATTTAGAGCCCTCTGCATCCAGCATCAACCTGTAGCCTCTTTACACAGCTCGGTCTAGAGGAAATCCGGGGCAGCTGATGAGGCTGAGATGGGCAAACACACTAAGGCAGGTTGCCCAAGACCGAGAGTGGTTTCTCCTCCAGCCCTTTTCCTAGTACAATGTGTTACATGAAGGCAAATTGTTTCAGTACATAGTATACCAGTACAGTGTATGGGCTGAGAGCATAAGCTTTGGGGATAAAAAGGTCAAATTCAGACTTTGCCACTGAGATAGTATAACTTTAGGCAAGTTACATAATTCCTCAGAGTCTCGGGTTTTTACTAACTAATTGGGTCACTGAAGAGAATAAATAAGATAATGTTGATGAAGTGTTCAGCACAGGGATTGGCTCAGAGCAAGCTACTGATATAAGAATACCATTTAGCACGCACAGAATGTGCTGCTGTGCTCTCAACGACCTAATGTTATCCTCCTGATGTTTCTGTAGCATAAAGGGTGTAGACAACGGCTTTATCACAGCATTATCAGGGGAGGGGGAAGACTAAGAACCAGGGAGGAAAAGCGAAATGCTCCAAGGATAGAGCAAGGCTAGAATCCAGGGGCTCTCAGTCTGTTTCTAATGCTCTCAACACCTTGCTGTGTGTCATAAGCACAGAGTCTGATACATGACATATATGAATCAAATAGATAGAATAACACACTAGAGAAAGCCTATATATTAATAGTACAACAATGGGCCCATGAGGTAATAGAGATAACTAACTAATTAACCTACTAACTAACTCTTTCCCTATCGGTCCTTTGTTAGAATTTGAAAAAAATATAAATATTATTGATTTCAGAGAGGAAGGGAGAGGGAGAGAAAAATAGAAACATCAATGATGAGAGAATCATTGACCACTGCCTCCTGAGCGCCCCTGACCTGGAATCGTGTGACCTCCTGGTTGATGCTCAACCACTGAGCCACACTGGCTGGGCATGCTCTGTGTTTTATATAAATGATTGGTTCAAGCTAGTGGAACAGGTAAATGCTGTGCTTGCTGCAGCTCACAACCACATAAAAATTACAACTGAACTACAGAACAGCCATTGTTCAGAACTTCCTGAAGTCCTACAACATAAGGACATACAGAAGAAGCCACATCAAGACAGACAGATGGAGCTGGTCCCACACCCATCTATGGCAGATAAGAATCAGGAGGGACATCCCATTGGCCGAGATCCCCCCTGAGAAGCGAGGAGCCCCAGTCCCACACCAGGCTCCAAGGTGACTGAGTGAGATAGAGGCTGCTGGAGTCCCAGGCAGTTTCTCTTAAAGGACACACACATGGACTTACTGACCATCTCACTCCAAGCTCCAGCGCTGGGGCAGTAGCTTGACAGGGACATATGAGGAGGGATTGAATTGTCTGGTTTCAGGACGAGGACTGGAGTAGTTTTGTCCCAGACATAAGTGCTGGCAGAGGCAATTGTTCCTTTGTTGATCCCTCTCCCCACCCAGCCTGCACTCGCATTTGGGATCATATCTGAGTCTCCATTAACCTAGCTGAAACTGTTTGTCCTGCCCTGGTGACTCCCTGAGACCTTATCCCACCCAACTTGCAGGTCCACCCAACCTGCCTCCGGGGGCCTTTCCTTATAAACAGGCTATGTTGGTTCATGTTGTGAGATTTTCCTAAAACCTCTCAAAGTTTCACAAACCCCAAACAAGCAGCACCTGGCCTCAGAATGCCCCATGTCTTGATATGCAGCCCCCAGCCTGGCTCTAGCTGCAGCCTCAGTTCACAGCTTAGGCTCTCCAGGCACCTGCAAGCCCAGGACAAGTGGCAACCATCTGCAGATAACTTTATGGCTTATACCAAGTGGCCCCGAGCAGGGCACAGGCAGCAACCGACCTCGGCCTGCACCAGAGCCTCCACCTAGAGGCCCCAGAACCAACAAAGAGTGGCCAGGTTTAGACCACACCAGAGCACCACCTCCACAAATGATACACTCAGAGGGCAGCCACCAGAGCCCTACTGAAGTGAATCCTGCTTCATAGGGTCAGCCCCTACCCAGCTACTCCTCTGCTGTAGTCATGACCAGTCCTCACAAACAATCATCCTGAGCAACCAGCCAAGATCAATCCAGCATAAATCACATCAGAAAGGCACTCTCACCCACACAAGGGACACATCTGGAACACCTGGCTCAGGTGACCAGGGAGACTGTGCCACTGGGCTCCACAGGACACCTACTACATGAAGCCACTCTATCAAAAACAGGAGATGTAGCAGCTCTACCTAATGCATAGAAACACAGAGAGACAGTCAAAATGAGGAGGCACAGAAACATGACCTAAATGAAAGAACGGAACAAAATTCCGAAAAAAACACACAAAAAACAACACTAAACAGAATAAAGACAAGCAATCTACCAGATGCAGAGTTCAAAACACAGGTTATAAAGATGCTCAATGATCTAGAGCAGGGGTGGGCAAACTTTTTGACTCGAGGGCCACAATGGGTTCTTAAACTGGACCGGAAGGCCGGAACAAAAGCATGGATGGAGTGTTTGTGTGAACTAATATAAATTCAAAGTAAACATCATTACATAAAAGGGTACGGTCTTTTTTTTTTTAGTTTTATTCATTTCAAACGGGGCCGGATCCGGCCCGCGGGCTGTAGTTTGCCCACGGCTGATCTAGAGAGAACTTCAATAACAAAGAGATAGGAAACATAAAATTAGAGATAGAAAACATAAAAAGAACCAGTCAGAAATGAAACCTACAATAGCTGAAATGGAGAATACATTAGAGGGGATCAACAATAGATTAGATGAAGCAGAGACAGAATCAGCAATTTGGAAGATAAGGTAGCAGAATACTCCAATCAGAATGGCAAAAAGGAAACAATAAAAAATGATGAGGATATCCCAGATTGTGTGGCTCAGTAGTTGAGCACTGACCCATGCATCAAGAGAGCACAGGTTTGATTCCAAGTCAGGGCACATGCCCGGGTTGCAGCCTTGATCCCTAACAGGGGGCATGCAAGAGGCAGCCGATCAATGATTCTCTCTCATCACAGATGTTTCTATCTCCCTCTCTCCCTTCCTCTCTCTAAAATCAATAAATGCATATTTAAAAAAAAAACACAGATGAGTATGGCTTAAGGGGCCTCTGGGACAACATCAATTGTACCAATATTTGCATCATAGGGGTCCCAGAAGAAGAGAGAGAGCAAGGAATTGTAAACCTATTTGAATAAATAATGATGAAAATCTTCCCTAGTATGGTGAAGAAAATAGACATATAAGCACAGGAAGTGTAGAGTCCCAAAATAGATGAACCCAAAGTTTCACACCAAGACACATCATAATTAAAATGCCAAAGGTTAAAGACAAAGAGAGAATTCTAAAAACAGCAAGAGAACAGCAGTTAGTTACCTACAAGGGGCTTCCAACTTATCTCTCAACAGAAACTTTGCAGGCCAAAAGGGACTGGTACGAAACATTCAAAGTGAAGAGAAGCAATCGCGGTTACTCTGCCCAGCAAAGCGCTCATTTAGAACTGAGGGACAGGCAAAGAGCTACCCAGACACACCACTAAAAGAGTACATCACACCAAACCATATTACATGAAATGTTAAAGGGTCTTCTTTAAGAAGAAGAAGAAAAATATTAAAAATATGAATAATAAAATGGCAATAACTATATATCTGTAAACAATTACCTTAAATATAAAGATTAAATGCTCCAATAAAAAAACACAGGGTGGCTGAAGGGATAAGAAAACAAGACCCTTACATATGCTGCCTACAAGAGACCCACTTCAGATTAAAAGACTGACAGATGGAAAGTGAATGAATGTAAAATATATTTCATGCAAATGGAAACACAAGAAAAACTCGGGGAGCAATACCTACACCAGACAAAACAGACTTTAAAACAAAATCTATAAAAGGGGACAAAGAAGGACCAAGCAATTTCTCTTCTGGGTATTATATCCAAAAGAAACCCAAAACATCAATTCAAAAACATATGCATCCATAAGTTCATTGTAGCATTATTTAAAATAGCCAAGATATGAAAGCAACCTAAGTGTCCATCAATAGATGAATGTCTAAAGAATAAATGGTGCATATATACAGTGGATATAATGCTGCCCTAAAAAAGAATGAAATCTTACTATGTGCAAAAACATGAATGGACCTAGAGTGTATTATGCTGAATGAAATAATTCAGACAGAGAAATAAAAAACCTAATATTTCACTAATATATGGAATCTCAAAAACAAAATAAGTGAGCAAACAAATCAGAAATGAAGTCATAGATACAGAGAACACTTTGATGGTTGCCAGATGGGAGGGGAGTTTGAGGGAATGGGTGAAAAAGGAGAAGGGATTAAAAAGTACAAATTAATAGTTACAAAATAGTCAAGGGGATGTAAATTATAGCAAAGGTAATATAGTAAAAAATATTATAATAACTATGTATTGTGTCAGATGGGTAATAGATTTATTGGGTGATCTCTCTGTAAGTTATATAAATGCCTAATTACTATATTGTACACCTGAAACTAATATAATATTGTATGTCAACCATACCTGAAAAATAAAGGTTTTTTAAAATAATAAAGTAATATTTTTTTAAAAAAGAAAAAAGTAGATGATTTTATTTCATCCTCAGAGCAACATATGAAATAAGTGATATTAACTCAACCTTATAGATAAAGACATGAAGGCTCTGGGAGGTTATACATGTCGTTTCAGACAATAAACTCAATTCTAAAGTGCTTATCCTTAAATTGCTTTAGTCAGTTTTCTCTGTCGCCTATGGAGATGGAAGACTGGCATGTCCACACCAATCAAGACACAAGGCAAGGTAAGGGGGAGGACTCACAGCAGGATGTGTAATTCCTCCAGCCGGTCACAGCGATCCCCTGTGTCTGGCAGGTGCTGGCGTAGTTCTGCAGCCAGCTGCAGGCCGTCTGCACCGCGCCCCCATCGATGCAGGAGTCAAACAGGCAGTTCTTGTAGAAGAAGGTGGGGTTGACTTTGCTGTGACACTTGGTGAAGCCCGCGTTCTGGTTGGGGATCAGGCTGCACAGCTGCTGCACCTTGGAGAAGCCTTCCACCTTGGCACAGGAGGGGCAGCGGTCCCCACAGCCCACCTGGCAGAAGGTGTCCCTCTTCACCCAGCTCTGCCCAAACTCATTGATGCTGGATGCAAGCAGCCCCATGGGCATCTCCAGGTCGTCGTCGGGGTTGCCGTTATAGCGGCCACACAAACCGGAGGTGCCATTCTGCATGGTCCGTGGGACTGTGATTGACAGGAAGGTCTTCCAGTCATACACGACCTTCAGGCCAAAATCTGTCTCCACCACCACATGGAAGCCAAAGGAAAAGATATTTATCTTCCCTTGACCCAGTTTCAAAGGGAGATACAGCCGTTCATTGTTGACCTGCAAGAGAAAGAGGGTTGAAGTAGAGAAATTGCAGAGACCACCCAGCTCTTCTCCTAGTGATGAGTCTTCAGAGAGGTCATCTAAGAGAGCGACCTGAGCAGGCTGAAGACAATCTCTGCATTTTGTGTTGTTTATGTCCGTCAGCTCTGAACAACTATAGGCCAACAAGCTGGACAATGTGGATGAAATGGACAAATTCCTAAAAAACTACAATCCTCCAAAACTGAATCAGGAGGAATCAGAAAACCTGAGTAGGCCAATGATAACTGATGAAATTGAAGCAGTAATCAAAAACCTCCCAGACAACGAAAGCCCTGGTCCGGATGGCTTCACAGGGGAGTTTTACCAAACATTCAAATAAGAACTAAAACACCTATACTCCTCAAACTATTTCAAAAACCAAGAGGCAGAACACTTCCAAGCTCTTTTTATGAGGCAAGAATTATCCTAATTCCACAGATATATAACAACACTGCAGATAAAGACACACAGAAAAAGATACTACAAAGAAAGAGAATTACAGGTCAATATTCCTGATGAATATAGATTCTAAAATCCCCAACAAATTATTAGCAAATTGAATCTAGCAATATATTAAAAAGATCATACACCATGACAACGTGGGATTTATTCCAGGAATGCAAGGCTGGTGCAATATTCACAAATCAATAAATGTGATATAGCACATAAAAAAATTGAAAGACAAAAATCACATGAACATGTAATAGATGCAAAAAAAGTGTTAGATAAAATCTAACACACATTTTTGACAAAAACTCTCAGTGAAGTGGGAATAGAGGGATCAAACATCAACACAATAAAGGCCATATATTTCAAACCTACAACCAACACCACACTCAAAGGGCAAAAACTAAAACCATCTCCCCTAAGAACAGGAACAAGATAGGGATGTCTGCTTGTACCACTCTTATTCAACACTAGAGGCCTGGTGCATGAAATTCGTGCATGGGGGGGGGGTTGGGGGTCCATCCAGGACCCCTCGGGAGATGTCGGGCCTAAACCAGCAGTCAGATATCCCTCTTGCAAGCCTGACGCTGCATGCACCAGTGACCATACTTTTCATACAGGTGAAAGGCATCTTGCTGTTGTATGGGCAGCTACATTTGTTTGACCTGATTATAAAATGTGGTACATAACATGATCCTTCTGAGGCAATATTACCATTTTCCCCATCTTATGGGTGCAAAAACTGAAGCAGAGAGAAATTAAGTAATTGGCTTTGTCACACAGTTATAAGTGCCAGAATCAGGGCTGACCACAAAATGTGCAAGCCAGAGTCCATGCATGTCATCACTGCATCATCCTGTTTTTTAAGTGTTAGAGTAGCCTTGCCAGGTTTTAATTTTTAAATCTAAGAGACTATTCCCAATATATAGGGTATGGTCCTTAGGCCTGGACGGCAATCAGAACCATCTGTGGGGTGACCAGCGGGTGGGATAATCACCCCCTCCCACCCGCTGGCACTGGCCTTGGCTGGCAGCCTGGCACCATCTGCTGGCCAGCCCCACCCCCAATTGCTGCTGCTGGTCACCTCCCACTCAGGGGGCACAGGATCAACACAGGAGCTGCCCCCTGCGTTGAGCATCTGCCCCCTGGTGGTCAGTGCGCGTCACAGTGACCAGTCTTTCTGCAGTTCAGTCGATTTGCATATTAGGGTCTTATTATATAGGACTAGAGGCCCAGTGCATGAAATTCGTGCACGGTCGGTGGGGGGGGATCCTCTCAGCCCAGCCTACACCCTCTCCAATCTGGGACCCCTCGGACATCCCTCTCACAATCCAGGACCGCTGGCTCCTAATTGCTTACCTGCCTGCCTGCCTGATAACCCCTAATTGGCCCCCCTGCCAGCTTGATCACCCCTAACTGCCTCTGCCTGCCAACCTGATTGCCCCTAACTGCCCCCCTGCCGGCCTGGTTACCCCCAACTGCCCCCCTGCCAAATTGGTCACCCCCAACTCCCCTCCCTACTGGCCTGGTCACCCCTAACTGTACCCCACCAGCATGGTCGCCCCTTACGCCCGCCCCCCCCGCTGGCCTGGTCGCCCCCAATAGCCCCCCTCTGCTGGCCTGGTTGCCCCTAACTGCCCCCTGCCAGCCTGGTCTCCCCCAACTGCACCCCCGCTGACTTGGTTGCCCCCAGCTGCCACCCTTGCCAGCCTGGTCACCCCTCACTGCCCCCCCTCTGCTGGCCTGGTTGCCCCTCACTGCCCCCCCTGCCAGCCTGGTTGCCTCCAACTGCCATCCCTGCTGGCCTGGTCGCCTCCAACTGCCCCCCCTGCTGGCCTGATCGCCCCCAACTGCCCCACCCTGCTGGCTTGGTTGCCCCTCATCGCCCCCCCTGTCGGCCTGGTCACCCCCAACTGCCCCCCTGATGGCCTGGTCGCCCCTCACTGCCCCCCTCTGCTGACCTGATCGCCCCTCACTGCCCCCCTGCTGGCCTGGTTGCCGCCAACTGCACCCTCTGCCAACCTGGTCGCCCCTCACTGCCCCCACTGCTGGCCTGGTCTCCCCATACAGCCTGCTTGTTCAGTTGTTTGGTCATCCCTCACTAACCCCCCTTCCGGCCTGGTAGCCCCATGCAGCCTGCTTGTTCAGTCGTTTGGTCATCCCTCACTAACCCCCCTTCCGGTCTGGTAGCCCCATGCTTGTTCAGTCGTTTGGTCGTCCCTCACTAAGCCCAATGCCGGCCTTGTTGTCCCACTCAGCCTGTTTGGTCATCCGTTTGGTTGTTTCGGATGTGACGGCCCCTGGATCTTTATATATGTAGATAGTACTGGAAGTCTTAGCCACATAGATCAGAGAAGGGAAAACCTAAAAGGCATCCAAATTGGAAAGGAGGAAGTAAAACTATCACTATTTGTAAGTGACATGATATTGTACATAACAAACCCTAGACTCGACCAAAAAACTACTAGATTTAATAAATGAATTAGGCAATGTAGCAGGATACAAAATTAAAATCCAGAAATTGGTTGCATTTTTATACACCAATAATAAATTCTCAGAAAGAGAAACTAAACAAACAATCCCATTTACCATTAGAACAAAAAAAATTAAGATACTTAGGAATAAACTTAAGCAAGCAGGTAAAAAATATCTATTCAGAAATTTACAGGACATTGAAAAAAGAGACAGAGGAAGACATAAAACAAATGGAAGAATATACCATGTTCATGGATTGGTAGAATTAATATTATTCAAATGTCCATATTACCCAAAGCAATCTATAGATTTAATGCAATCCCTATAAAATACCAACAGCATATTTCACAGAACTAGAAGAAATACTCCAAAAATTTATATGAAAACAAACAAACAAAAAAAGACTCAGAATAGCCACAGCAATCTTAAGAAAGAAGAATAAAGTTGGAGGGATCACAATACCAGATATCAAGTTATACTACAAAGCCACTGTAATCAAAACAGCCTGGTACTGGCACAAGCACTGGCATATAGATCAATGGAACAGAACAGAGACCCCAGAAATTGACCCAAGCCATTACACTCAGTTAATATTTGACAAAGTAGGCAAGAGCATGCAATGAAGTCAAGACAGTCTTTTCAATAAATGATACTGAGAAAATTGAACAGATACATGAAAAAAATGAAGCTAGACCAACTTACATCATACACAAGAATAAACTCAAAATGGATAAAGACTTAAATGTAAATCATGAAACCATAAAAATCCTAGAAGAAACTATAAGCAACAAAATCTCAGACATCTCACATAGCAGTATCTTCACCTAGGGCAAAGGAAACAAAGGCAAAAATAAACAAATGGGACTACATCAAGCTAAAAAGCTTCTGCACAACAGAAGAAACCATCAACAAAATAAAAAGGGAACCCACTCTATGGGAGAACATATTTGCCAATGATACATCTGATAAAGGATTAATATCCAGAATATATAAGGAACTCATACAATTTAACAAAAGGTAGACAAACTATCCAATTGAAAAATGGGCAAAGGACCTAAATAGACCCTTCTCCAAAGTGGACATATAGACAGCCAAGAGACATATGCAAAGTGCTCAAAGTCACTAATCATCAGAGAGATGCAAATTAAAATGACACTAAAGTATCACCTCACAACCTGTCAGAATGGCTACCATCAACAAATCAACATACAACAAGTGCTGGTGAGGAGAAAAAGGAACCCTAGTCACTGCTGGTGGGCATGTAGACTAGTGCAGCCACTATGGAGTTTCCTCAAAAAATTAAAAATGGAACTCCCATTTGACCCAGCATTCCCACTTCTAGGAATACATCCTAAGAAACCAGAAACACCAATCAGAAAGAATGCATGCACCCCTATGTTCATAGCAGCACAATTTACAATAGCTAAGATCTGGAAACAGCCCAAGTGCCCATCAGTAGATGAGTGGATAAAAAGCTGTGGTACATTTACACCATGGAATACTATGCAGCAGTGAAAAAAGGATCTCTTACTCTTTCAGACAGCATGGAGGGACCTGGAGAATATCATGCTAAGTGAAATAAGCCAGTCAGAGAAAGACAAGTATCACATGATTTCACTCATATGTGAAATCTAAAGAACAAAATAAACTGATGAACAAAACAGATTCTGAGACAGAGAAGCATGGAACAGATTGACAAATCTCAGAGGGAAGGCAGAGGTGGGAAGAGATTAACCAAATAACTTAAATGCATATATGTGTATCCCATGGACTCAGAATACATGCACCTCTATATTCACTGCAGAGTTATTTACAATAGCCAAGGTATGGAAGCAACCCAAGTGCCCATCAATAAACAAGTGGATAAAAAAGTGGTGGTACAGACATAATGAAATATTACTTGCTGGTAAGAATTAATAAAATCTTAGCATGTGCGACAGCATGGATGTACCTAGAGGGTATTATAGCAAGTGAAATAAGTCAGAGAATGGCAATACCATATGAACTTACTTGCCTGTGGAATCTAAAGAACAAAAAAAGGGAACAAACTAACACATACAGAGAATGGGCTGGTAGTTGCCAGAGGAGAGGGGTGAGGCTGGGCGACAGAGGTGAGGGGTTGAGGAGTAGAGACTGGTAGTTACAGAACAGTCACAAAGTGTAAAGTTCAGTGCAGGGACAGTCAGTCACGGAGTGATAACTCTGTGTGGTGCCAGGAGGGTACAGGAAGTATCGGGGGATATATGTGAAGTATTTCTAACCAGTATGTTGTACACCTGAACCAACATAAAATAATATAGAGAGTAAACTATAATTGAAAAATAAAATTAAGAGTAAAAATAAATTTATAAAAAATTATAAATCGAAGGGTAGCGATACATCAAATGAGGAGAAAAGGTCAAGTCACTTGGGCAAAATGACTGACATGCTTAACACATATGATGACAATGGGTTAGAGGGAAGTTCTGTACTCAGCTTAACCTGTCCAGACAGCTGCTGGAAACTTTATGTGGCTAAAAGCAAAGAATCCAATATATTTCTAATGGCCCCAGAGGCAATTTAACCTCCCAGATTGCTGTAAATGTGACCAGCAGCAACATGGCAGTCAGAGGAACCCTGGAAGAAAAGCCTTTTCTGTCACCTCACTCACTCACTCGACAAATGTTGTCATTCCATTTAACATAAAGATTCATTAGGTGTGCTTCTTGTGCTCAAGAAGCCCACAGTTAGAACTGAGTGAGCTAGAGATGAACATCACAAAAAATACAGTCTGATTAAAGCAATAACGGAGACGGTAACCAGCTGTTAGGAGAAGCACAGAGGAGAAGAATAAGGGTGATGGAGAAAGTCGAACATCCTAAACCAGACCCTCCAAAATGCTCAGCCAGCGGCTGTGGGCTGGCTTGTTTGTGTCCAAGTGATGCCCAGAGCAAGGCCTTGGCTGAGGCAGGGCCTACCGTTCCTCTGATGTCCTAGGTGGGCCCAGGAGTGTACGGAACTCCTCAGGTCCTGCTGCTCCTCCCTTCATGGACCAGGGAATGAAAAGGTGGGGAGGACAGAAGGAGGAAACCAAGGCCTCATGAACAGGCCCGTGGGAGAGCCCCGAGGCCTCCGAATGCTTGCAAGACTCTTGAGCTCCCCAATCCCATGAGAGCCAAGAGGGGACGGGGCGAGGGGGTCAGAGGCCAGAGCAGACAAACATCATTCTGGTCCTGAAAGAGGGAAGGATGTGGGTCAGA